TGGGCCAACACTGCCCCGCTCCCTGGAGAGAGACAGGACATGACCTCCATGCCCTATTGGTTTCAAGAAATTTTGTGAGCATATTTGCCAATATTTTTTAAATCTTAAAACAAACTAGAAAGCCTTATATGCCAGGAGACACCTACTCTCCTGTCAGTCATGTGCTTTAGCAATCAGTCTGATACTCACCTAACACCTGACTCTGCAACATGGCTTTTAAATTGCTTCAATTCTCACATCCCACAAGATAGCTCTCCTACTTAATCCTTATAGGCACTAGTTTCGGTCTGCTCAAAACAAGAATTAGATTTCTCATTCTCTAACGTTTTCTCTTCACTTCTTCACCAACTTCCCACTAAATAAACTTCTTTTTCCCCTCCTGAAACCTACTGGGAAAATCTGCAAAGCTCTGCTCTCCTCTGTCCACTACCTTAGTTAACCTTTGTCCTCCCCAAAATAAGATTGTTAAGAGTTTGACAGTGCATACTTCAAAGTGATTTAAAATATTACACCAATCACCTTAACATTTTCTTTTTGACACTCCATAAAGCAAGTAATTTTGCTTTACAGGAAATCTGGTTTTGAGATCTCCAGATACAAAAGTACAAGTTACACTAGCTTTAGGGATGTCTTCTTTTCAGTGGGATCACAAGAAAATTTTTTTTCTATGTTCCAAATATGGAAAGAAAAAGTATTTGGTCACAGGAAGTCACAGAACAAAACTGACACAGGAATGCTAAAGGAAGCCATTGTACCGTTTCTAAGTGATATATTTTTAAGGTTTGACTGAACATGGATAGCCTGTTTTTATTTAAACAATATTAAACACATCTCTCAAACCTGAAGTAACTACAATGAAAATGTTAATTCAAACACAGTACTTGTACACTGGCAGAAGTATGATCTAATGACCAAGTTCAACCTGTCTATAAGCCTTAATGCAGACCTGTACCTATCAGAAGGAAGCACTCCCCTGAACTCCCTCCTAAGATGAAGCTCCTTCACACCAAGACAGTTTCCACAGCCAAGAGAATGTGACTCTGCCTTCCTGAGTTATTATGCTGTAAGGAAAACAAGTTAATACATCCTACAGAAGACCAGCAGAACATCCTCTCCCAATGAAACAAGGTATCTTTGTATAGAATAATAAAATGGTTTCGAAGGGACCTAAAAAATCAAGTAGGTTCCACCCCCACAGCAATGGGCAGGAACACCTATGACAGCTCTGGAAGACTGACTTTTTTCCAAGGCTGTCAGGTGTGTGAATCTCATTACTTGGTGGGGGAGGGAAAGAGGGAGAGTGACAAACAATCTGATAAGCTTTCCTATTCAACATGCAAAGACCCACACATCTGCAACAATGAGACTCTCACAGCAGCTGCTTCCAGAGCAGAAAGCAGGATCATCCTTCAGTGCGCCCAAGACAAAGCACATTATATTCTATACTCTTCCTTAGACAGATGGAATCACAACTTCTGAAAAACAGCAACAGTTAAAGATTTTTACATTCAAAACTTGAAATTTTCAAAACTGTCAGTCTTGACAGCCATACAATCACAGCCCAGATCTAATTACAAGAGACATACTTCTAAGATGTGAGGCCATCACCACTTGATCTAACATTCAACAACAGCAAAATTCCTCCTGTTTGCCTCAGAACAAGCATGCCAGGTTGGGAGGACTAACCCGAGAGAAAGGAAAAGAAAGTCATAGCAATCAAATGCACTTCACCACACTGGAAACACCACTCTTCCTGCAGGTGTAAGACAGGGACAAGGCAGCAAACTCCTGCTCTGAATTTGTAGGGCTGCATGCCTGTCCTGCACAGCCACCCCTGCCTCCCTGCACAGCCAGCTGGTAAGGAAAACATGCTGACAAGGCACAGGGAGCTGCAGCAGCAGTAACTGGAAACAGCAAGTGAGAGCAACCCCAGGCACACTGCCAGGACACAATAATTCTGTGATAAAGTTTCCTGTCCCTATTTTTTTTAGATTAGGCAATTTATATATATATATATAGTCCCTGCTGTGGTACTTCTCCCTGCATCCCTTCACAACAGGAGCAGCTGCAAGTTTCCTCTGGCAGCTACAGAACTCCCATGCAGCTCCACAACGACCCATTTTCTACCCTCCCTCAGGCTGGCTTAGCTTTATTTCCTCCACCTTTTATTTTGGGGGTCTGGGAGAAAGTTGTTAAATATTTTCACCCTGTTTTTTCTCCTGCAAAAGCCGGCCTTCCTGTATCAAAAAGAATGCACGGGCATATTCACGTATGAGAAAGAAGTATCACTGCAAGTGCTGGATTTCAAAAAGGGGTCACACCAGGAAGCCACACAGCCTGTCTGCCCTCACAAGCCTTGCAGCAGTGGGATCTTCTGGTGAATACACCACAGGTGCAGTGACAAAGAAGTGTACCAAGGCCAATCTCCACCTGGTCCTGGCACAATGTGTACCACATCCAATGCCCTCTTTCCACAACCCAAATCGTAGAAGGGTAGAGCTCAGCAACAACTGGCTGAAGTTTTCAAACAGTTTTTGTTTCCATAATTAAAATATAAGGAATGTTTTGCTCTTTCAGCAAGGGGGTTATGTCTCGATTCAGACTCAATTAAAAAAAATAAATCAAGCCCACAACTCAGTAAAGGAAATAAAAAACATGTTTTCTGTTTTCTTTTGTCTGTCCTCAGGTATAGCCTTCTCTCTGACACCCAGGAACAGCAGATCAACTCCATGTACCTTGGAACATGAAGCAGATCTGAGAGGACTCTTCCCTACAGACAAACATAACCTGCAGTCATAGCCAGAAACTGTCTGACACACAGTGATCCAAACTGTTAGTCAGAAACGTGACTCAGTGTTGGAGACTCCCTCAAAAAAGCCTTGCAGGGAAGAACCCAGCTGTCCCTTTAGGAAAATGAAAAGAAGGGAAGGAATTTTCAGGAGACAGAGCATTTGTCTTTCACTGGTGATCCAAGGTTTGCTTCCAGCCCATAACAAAACCCTGTCTTGACAGATCTGTGGACTTTAGCAGCATAAGCGACAGTGAAAGAGCACAGTGAAGAGTAACCACCAATGTAAGCAAAGTTACCTTTCAACAGCACCATGCAAACTAACAGCCATACAGGCAAGTTTCTGTCCTAGAAAACTCGCGACCTGGGTTGACAGGATGCAACAGGTGAATGACACAGAGAACTTCAAGCTGAGCAGAGAGGAAAGCTAACAAGTTACCACAAAGCAAGTAAACATCTCCTGACAGCACGTCCGGAGACAGCGGACAGAAACCCGGGCTCCTCAGGCGCAGGACAACAGCCACCAGGAACTGACACCACTCCCCAGCCGCCTCTGACCCCCTTAGCAAAGGGACTCCCTCCGACAGCGCGGCCGCGCACGACGGCCGGCGCCGGGCTCCGGAGCCAGGCCGAGACAGTGACCCCTTCCCTCCCGTCCGCCGGGCCCCTCTCGGGTGCCGCCGCCGGCCCGGCCCGCACCCCGCCAGGCCACGGGTGCCTCAGCGGGACGGGCCGCCGCCGTCCCTCTTCCTTCCAGCACCTTCCAGCGCCGCCCGGCCCGGCCGGCAGCAGGACGCGGGCGGGCGTCGCTGCGCCGCCGGCTCCGGGTCGCAGGGAACGCTGCGGCGCTCGGGCCGGCGCAGGCCGCGGGGCGGGACAGCGCGTCCACGTCCCCCGCCGTGAGTCACGGCCCCGCGGGCGGCGAGAAGGAGACGCCGCCGCCCCGAGAGCCAGCGCGAAAAGTTACCGGCGTGGGCCGCGGCTCCCGGCGATGCGCGGCCGCCGCCCCCCGTAGCGCAGGTGCCCGAGCCGCGGGCGGGAGGGGCGGCCCGGCCCGGCGCTGCTCCCGCCGCTGCTCCCGGCGCTCTTCCCGGCGCCGCGGCGGAGCTGCCGTGATGTCACGCGGGCCCGGGTCACGTGCAGGCGCCGCCCGCCCCGCTCCGCCCCCGCGGGTCCCGAAGGCTCCGGGCGCGGGTGATTCCCGGCGGTGGGAGCGTACGGGGCCCGCCGGCCCACCCTCAGCCCAGCAGCAGCAGCGGAGCAAAACCAGCAGCAGCAACGGCACAATCCCAGAGCAGGTGCCGCAGGTTCTCTCCCCTCCGCAGAGAACCTTTTTCTTGCAGCACTCGCCAAGAACTTCCTCAGTGGTGCGGTATCGGTAAACAAAGAAAAAAAAAAACAAAAAAAAAAAAACAACAACAACAAAAAAAAAGAACGCGGCTTCAAACAAAGAAAAAGAAAAAAAAAAACAACAAAAAAAGAACGCGGCTTCGTGCTGTCCTAGAGATGGGAAATAGAATTCAGTTTAAATTCACTAGGTATTCGAGCATGAGCAAATTGAACACGTTTTTCCGTCCAGCTGAGCCTCGTGTATTGCACCAACCCTGCCCTGAAATAACCCCCCAGCTCCACAAACAATTTGGCACCCTTATTGAGACGTTACACACAGCTTTCTAACCCTGCAAACTACGGAAGGTTTTAAGCAAATAAACAGGTACAAAAGAGCTGGGTTATGAGCCGCTGTGCTTCATGACTCCAAGATTTCTTTGCAAACGCGAGAGTCACGTTTCCCTCTTTTCTTAAAAAAGAGATAGCTGAGAACCTCATTCACCTCCCTCTATGCGCTTCTGCGGGGAGACAAACACTAAGTAGCACTAAATTCATTTAACTGCCTATGATTCCCTCTACACGGCACCTACGAGATCTTCGGCCAGCGATCCAGCGGATGCACAGGCGGCAGCAGAAGCCGCATTTCGTCTCACACTCGCCTAATTCGACCAAGTTTCGTAAAGAACAACCAAAACTGGGCAAAACCCGGCAACGCTGCGCAGCCTCTTTGCAGCTTTCCGCTCCACACGGGCATGCTCAGGCTGACCCGAGGGATGCGACGATGAGCGACCCCCGGCTGCCGGGCAGTGCGCGCCAGGCCGCCGTCCCTACTTCTGCCCACGAGTTTACCCAGGAGCACAGCGCCAGAACACTGAAACCTCGTGTCCCGGAGCGAAGCTGCGGCGGGGGTGACACCGCTGCGCCCTCATTCCCGCTCCTACCGAGCGCCTCCGCGGCTGCAGCCCGGGGCGAAGCCTCAGCAGGGCTGACAGCGGAGCCCAGCGCCTCCAGCCCGGCGGGCCCGACGCGGCGGCTCGGGGGCCGAGCGGGGCTGTCCCGCCGCCGGGATCCTCCTCCTCGGGGGCGGGCGCAGGGCCGGCAGCGCGGCCGGGGCTGTGCGCTGCGAAACGCCGTCCGCGCAGGCCGGCGGCCGGCGGCGCTCGGTTCCGGGCGGTGTGCGAGCGCTATGGCGGGCGGGCGGGGCGGTGCCGTCCTGCTGCTGCTGGCGCTGTGCCTGCAGCCGCTGCCCGCCCGGGCCCGCAGCCTCCGCTTCGTGACGCTGGTGAGGGGGACGGGGGGACGCGGGGGGAGCCGGGCCGGGCCGGGATGGCCGGGCAGGGCCGGGGTGACGCTGTGCCGCCCGCAGGTGTACCGGCACGGAGACCGCTCGCCCATCAAGGCCTTCCCGCGGGACCCGTACCAGGAGAGCGCCTGGCCCCAGGGATTCGGGCAGCTCACGCAGGTGCGGTGCGAGGCGGGGCGGGCGGCGGGGGCCGCGCCGGGGTCCGGACCGCCGCTGACGCCCGGTGCCGTTGCAGGTGGGGATGCGGCAGCAGTGGGAGCTGGGCCAGGCCCTGCGGCGGCGCTACCGCGCACCGCTGCGCCCTCATTCCCGCTCCTACCGAGCGCCTCCGCGGCTGCAGCCCGGGGCGAAGCCTCAGCAGGGCTGACAGCGGAGCCCAGCGCCTCCAGCCCGGCGGGCCCGACGCGGCGGCTCGGGGGCCGAGCGGGGCTGTCCCGCCGCCGGGATCCTCCTCCTCGGGGGCGGGCGCAGGGCCGGCAGCGCGGCCGGGGCTGTGCGCTGCGAAACGCCGTCCGCGCAGGCCGGCGGCCGGCGGCGCTCGGTTCCGGGCGGTGTGCGAGCGCTATGGCGGGCGGGCGGGGCGGTGCCGTCCTGCTGCTGCTGGCGCTGTGCCTGCAGCCGCTGCCCGCCCGGGCCCGCAGCCTCCGCTTCGTGACGCTGGTGAGGGGGACGGGGGGACGCGGGGGGAGCCGGGCCGGGCCGGGATGGCCGGGCAGGGCCGGGGTGACGCTGTGCCGCCCGCAGGTGTACCGGCACGGAGACCGCTCGCCCATCAAGGCCTTCCCGCGGGACCCGTACCAGGAGAGCGCCTGGCCCCAGGGATTCGGGCAGCTCACGCAGGTGCGGTGCGAGGCGGGGCGGGCGGCGGGGGCCGCGCCGGGGTCCGGACCGCCGCTGACGCCCGGTGCCGTTGCAGGTGGGGATGCGGCAGCAGTGGGAGCTGGGCCAGGCCCTGCGGCGGCGCTACCGCGACTTCCTCAGCGACACGTACCGGCGGCAGGAGGTCAGTGCCAGCCCCCGGCTCGGGGAGCGGCGCTCTCGGCCGCCCCTCGGTGGGCCCGGGCCGCCGCGCGGGCTAGGGCTGCGGGTGGCTCCTTTGGGACGGGAAACGCCGGCGCCGGGACTCGTCTCCAAGTACTTTCGCCCCTTAGCCCGTTCCCACTGCAAGAAGAAGAAGAAGGGCCCAAGGCAGGCTCTGTGCTGAGTCTGGCCGCCGGGTGCAAAGGCAAATCCAGCCCGAGTTGTGAGACTGTTCGAGCCGCTCACTCTGAAGTCCAGGGAACTAAACAATAGTGTTTGTTGTAGCTGGTATTTGTTTCTTACTCGAGCTTATGAGGGAGCTTATGAGATTTTTTTTTTCCTGTTACAATAGCTCACAAGAATGCAGCCCGTGTTGGCCCTACCCTCCCCAGTGCACTTGAGGTACAATCTTACCAGAGCCTGTAGCTATTAGTAGTAGTCACTGACCAGCAATGACCCTCTCATTTCCTTTCAACTGTAAAGTATTGACAGTAGCCCAAAGCCATTAATTCCCCTCTCTCTCATTAGGATGTCCTCACATTTTATAATAGTTCTTGAGAAACTGGTAGGTTTATTTTGGAAAAAGTCACAGAGCCCTTGTGGAACCGTGTACTAAGCACATTATAAAAGATTAAAATTAAATTATAAAAGATTAAAAAAGTAAGGAAATCAAAAATCCTCCCAAGTACCTCTGCTAATAATCAACTGGTACTGAATCAATTGAACAGGTGTCCAAATGAGAGGCTGGTTCAGATGGACAGCAGGCAGCCAAGGCCCCTTGTCCCACTACAGGCTCTGCACCACTTCAGTTATTTTATCTGAGCTCAATTAAGCTGACTGAACAGATGGGGCAAACTAAGAATCCCATACACTTTTCCTTGTTTCTCCCCTTCTAGGGCTTCCCAGTAAGAACCCAGCTTGTCACAGTTCAGATTACATCCCTTCTTTGACATTTACTTCATCAACAAAACTTCCAGCATTGGCTCAAACACAGATCCTTTAACTATCCTCAGTATTTCCTTTCCAAACATACTTCACTCTTATACAGCTTCTGTGAGTTGGAACTCTTTTCCTTCTCTTGCTTGAGAAAAAAAACCAAACCAAGATGTGCAAACAAAAGCTGTTCTGCTAACCAAGCCTGAACCCTTGCTCAAGTTGAGCAACCTCCCTTGTAAGAAGTGTTGCCTCTGGGTGACACCATATGACCGTCTGTCACCTGACTCAGCAACAGGCTGGAGCCTGGCAAAAGGTGCTGAAGAAAGCATGTACACTCAGGCCTTAATTGCTTGGGGTTTTTATGATACTTCTAGAATTAGGTCCTTATCTTTTAAAATATCTCATTTCTTCAGAGCTTACCAAGGATAAAAGCAAACCTGTCTAATGAGTACAGGGTCAGTTTTTTCAAGCCACTGTTAAGAGTTAAAAGTGGGCAGACACTGATGTCAGAGAAAAGACCAGTTGGGTTTTTTCTTGTGACTGTAAAATTTCTGAGGTACACTTCACATGAGAGAGATTATACAGAGTATGTATATTTTATGTTTCTGTCCTAACACTTAAAAAAATCACTGTCTTTACATTTCATTCTTCAGACTTTTTGTTCTTGTTTCAGATCAAACATGCTCTTTCCTGGGACATTCCTTTATATGGAATTCCTGTTGTTCCTCTTGTTTCTCTAGTTTACCCTTAACTGTTTTCAGTACACAGATACAAGAATACTAAAAGTTTTGCCATTTTGACCTTCTGAACATTGCTGTATTTTTCTCATTTCTCCTTTTTCCTGGGTCAGAACTGTCTCTTCTGAACTCTAGAATGGTCAAGTCTTGGCCCATTAATCCCAAGAGCCCACAATAATCAAATAAAACCCCAGCCCTCCGTATTTTTGTTTACTCTTCTGTTAGATCACTCTTGTCTTTGTTTCTCAGATGGAAAAACTGAGGCTTGAAGAAGCCATTTCTCTTCCTGAGCACAGTCAAGTCATTCCTAGAACTGACAGCAGAATGCAGGAGTTTGCCTCAGTCCTGCTATGCAAATATAGCACATTTCCTATCTGTACCCATAGTTTCCTGCATCTTTGTCTTCCTCTTCTCTGACCCTTCCTCAGACTCAGACTCCTTTCTATCTCTAACCTCTGCACAGTGCACCTGGGTATCCCATTGATCCAGACCAGACAGCTCCAGTATTAGACAGCAGATTGTCTTTGTGTGTGCCCTTACAGTTCTGTCCAGGCCAACATCAGCAGGCTCTGTCCCTTTGACTCCTATTCCCCTGCTGTCTGTGAGCAGCTGCAGGGACTTGGCAGTGTTCCTGGGCGAGTGCATCATCTGTGCCTGAGCATCACCACTTGCAGGAGCGTCAGTAACGGTGCCCTGTCCCTGTCCTGGCAGATCTTCATCCGCAGCACAGACTGTGATCGGACACTGATGAGTGCAGAGGCCAATCTGGCAGGCCTCTATCCCCCAGGAGGACAAGAGATGTTCAACCCTAACATCTCCTGGCAGCCTATCCCTGTGCACACAGTCCCCGAGTCTGACGAAAGGGTAAGTTCATCTCAAAGACATGTATTGACCACTCAAGTAGTGTAGTGTCCAAAAATATTTGCTATAGTCTTGATTCAGATTGTCTTGAACTTCTCCTGGGACCTACCTTGCAGAGGTTTTCATATTTTCAGAAAAAGATGAGAGAATTCAGGGGCTGGGTTCAGTCAGCATGTCAGGTGTAACACCTGAGCAGACCACACATGATTGGGAGTATGGAGCAGGCAGTACCTGAGGCTGTTTATAGATGCAGTCAGGGTTCCATTACAGTTGTGCATGTTTACTGCAAATTCTGTACTCTAGCATTCTTGGTGACCTGGCTGCTCTTGTCTCTGCCCAGCTACTGAAGTTCCCTTTGACCCCTTGTCCACGGTATGAACAGCTGCAGACTGAAACACGGCACTCAGCAGAATACATAAATAAGACCAAAGAGAATTGGGTAAGTGATTGTTTACATGAGGTAAGGTGGTTCTAGGCTTGTAGTTATCACCTCCGTATAATCAAAGCTCTGAGAAAAGGGAAGGGATACCAATGCATATAATACAGTATGAGGTTAGAAAACTGAAGATCTTTCTCTTTTCTCCAACCTACAGCAATTCCTGCAGATGGTGGCAAAGGAGACTGGGATCCGGGATATCTCTCTCGAGAGTGTATGGAGTGTGTATGACACGCTGTTCTGTGAAGTAAGTCTGGCCATCATCTTACACCCACTGGAATCTGGTCCTTAGGATTCAGTGAGTTTGGTGGAAATTATTTTACAAAATCCCATGAAACAACTTTTCACCCTACAATTAGAAGTAATGTTCTAATTTCAGAATAATAACACTTCCCACTCACTAGAGACATGTGCCAAGAATTACCTGGTTTTGCACCCTATACCTCCCACTCTGTAGCTCAGATATATATCATGTCAGAATGAGAAAAAGTCCCACCATATGTATTGGTGGGACAGCATAATATCTATCTCTTGAAAGTCACTACAAAATGACTGCAATCTGAAATCTTTAGATGGTCTGTTGACAAGCCTAAGTCCAATACGGTAGAAATGAGATCTCTGCAAACTGAAGAAACATTAAATTTATTATTTAAGTTGGGACCTTAATTAGGACTATTCCTGGTGCTACATCTACCTCTCTGGTTCTTTAAATCAATCACATTTCTTTCTGTGCTTATTTTAATGCCATATCTAAAAGAAAATAATGCTATCCTAAGTTAAGTGGGGTTCACTCACGTCTGTTTTTGACATATTTTCCTTTGTCAGAGAAAGACTCTAGAGACAGATGTTACCCTTTACCATTTGCGATGGGGGCACCAAACTCAGGATTTGAGTTGATTTCTGTTGAAAGGACATCTCATGAAGACTTAAACAAAAGCAGAAATTGAGTTAGCTGTGCTGTGGTAATGCTAAACTAAAGGTCACATATCCAGGATACTTAAAGTTGTTACACACAAGTTTCTTGGTATATAATTGTACAGCATGATCTTTCATGTCAAACTAGTGAATTATTGAATTATGGACACAGTAAACCAAAGCATTTTGACACTGTGTCACACTAATTCTATGAGTGTACAAGACTGCTTCACTTGCTGGCAGTGGTGTACAGTGGTGTGCACTATTTTGGGGGTGTAAAAGATAAATCAGCAGGGAATTGCACTTTTCTATGTAAAGTAGCAGCTTGGGTTGCTACAAGCTGAGAATATTCCAGTCCAGAGCTGCATTGTACCATGCAAATCTGCCCTTTGTCTCACAAACCTCAATTCCTGTCTTGTAACAATCACAGTGAATCGACTTCTATTGGTAAAAAAAATATCCTTTGGTCAGAGAGATCAAGAATTTCAGATCTTCATTTTCAAGAGTCACTTAATGAGTCTGCAGATTGGGCCTGGAAGGCAAGCTGACAACCACTATAATCCCCAAGAACTTGGAGAACAGCCCACAGTCCCAAAGCAAAACCAGAATGTTGTTAAGGAAAGAGTATTTCTCACTCAGAACTGTACCCTCAGGCTGATTGGTCTCTTCAGCTACTTTGGTCTTCCTCCTTTTTAGTAAGTCATGCAAAAAGTGCCCTGAAGAGGATTGTTTTTCTCACCTGAACCAGTAGAGTCATTCTGCTATCTGGATGGAGACAATAAAAAAGTCCAAGAAATAGCTGAACTTACTGGCTATTCTCTTTGTAAATTAATGAAGAACTAACTAAATACCTAAGCTGCTGATGGAATTTCTCTGAACCACTCAGACAGAATGGGCCCTTAAGGATATTCAGCCTCAACTTCTGGAAGTCTAATGGGATGTGGCAAAGAAAATTGTTCTCAGTAATGGTTTGGGAAACCACAACGGCTGTTTGTCTGCCGTTATAACTAATCCTTTCATGTAATAGGTTGGCTGCAAAGCAAGTTCTTCTCTTGGTTTCCAGTTCTTGGGCTCCTGGGTTTGAATACACGGCTTTGTCAGTGGTGCATCCCACTGTTCTGTCCACAGAGCACTTGCTAACTTTGTCTAGTGTCTTTCAGTGGCCCTCAGAGCCTCCAGGGAAACAGGTGCAGGTACACCAGAAACTCTGAGTTCACTCGCTTATCTGGTTTTTTTTTCTTTGACTGCATGCCATCTGCAGGGCAGAATTAGCCACATAAAAAGTTAATGCCCCAAGATTACTGTATCAATTCCAACATAACCTTGCATTCCAGCTGTGCTTTCACAGAAATGTAGTCCTAGGTTGCAGTCTTTATTCTTCTCATTACTATTTTTTGGAACAACATCAAAACACACATATATTCTTTGTATGCAGCATAGCAGTGTGAGGTCAGAAGCACAAATGGGAAAGGGGCATATTGCATATTTAAAATAGTGTAGGAAGGCAGCAGCAGTATGGCCAGGTGTCCAGACACCCTCCTCTTCTCTGTGACCTGTGCTACCTGCACATGAATATTCTGTTTCTCTTTCAAGCAAGCACACAAAATGGATTTGCCTGGATGGGTGACTCCAGAAGTCATGGCTCATTTGAAGGAACTAAAAGACTTTGGTTTTGAATTTCTGTTTGGGATCCACAATCAGATAGAAAAAGCTCGTCTGCAAGGCGGTGAGTGCACCTGGGAGGGAGCCTCATGCTGCTCTGTCTGGCTTTTGCCTCTTACCAGCTGTTCTCTTTCCTCAGGGGTCCTGCTGGATCACATAAGGAAAAACCTAACCAAAGCAGCAAATGCTTCTGCCCATCAAAACCTAAAACTACTTGCCTATTCAGCAGTAAGTTAGAACTGGGACTGGCTTTTAGCCATCTCCTTCTGCTTACAGGGTATTGGGACTTGGTGATAGTTTTAACCCCTTCTAGCTTCCCTACAGCCCATGCAGTGATCAGGACATGCATCTTGGCCTCTGACTGGGTGGGAGATGCAGTATCTGGCATTGTTCTTGTGGGATCCCTGAGGAAAATTCCCAATGTGTCCTTATTCCTGTTAGCTCAGGCTCATGAATGAGACTGGCAGACTTTAGAGAGACACTATTTATTTGCTAGATGGGTTGATGTTACTCAAATATGATGTTTGAGAAGCGTGGATACAGTTGTCTCCCCTTTCCAGCAGCCTACTGCCTGGAAAGTCAAGCATTTCTTCCAAATTGCTCTCTAGAGATTAATTCTCAGAAAAACAGTGCAGTATATATCTGGCTGTTTCACTTCCTCCCCTTCTCTGGCACCATCACAGACCACTGTTCTAGCAGTACAGTTCCTCTCCCATTTTCCAGATGGAAGTTACAAAGGTGACATCCCTCAGCACTGCCTTGTCCATTACTGGTGTAGTCTGAGCTGCGGTGCCACATCCCTAAGGGTGACTGATTTGGTTTTTTTCCCTCTTTCTCAGCATGACACCACACTTGTGGCACTGCAGATGGCTCTAGATGTCTACAACAAGATCCAAGCACCATACGCCTCATGTCATTTATTTGAACTGTACCAAGAGGATGATGGGTGAGGGCTGCAGTAAAGACATCTGCTGTGATTTCACCTCGAGGGTTAGATACCTAGGCTAGGCTCCACTCCTGGGGCATGCAGTCTTGCTCCTAGTGGAAGACTCATGAGGAAAACTTATCACCAGAATAAAGGAAAGGGTGTGCACATTTAGTTTTTGGGAAGGGATGACTTCAACTAGACGAAAAAAACCACCTTGCTCTGTTTCGTTTTCAGTAACTTCTCCGTGGAGATGTTTTACCGGAATGAGAGTGGGAAGGAACCCTTCCCACTGACAATCCCTGGCTGTCAGCATAAATGCCCATTGCAAAGATTCTTAGAACTCACAGATCCTGTTGTTCCCCAGGACTGGGAGCAAGAATGCAAGGTGTCAAGCAGCATGCATGACACAGGTGAGCCTAGGCTTGACCAGAGTGTGACAGAAGGGGAAAGTCTGGATGATAACATGCTGACCACTTATTTTCTCCCTTACAGAACTCTTTGTGGGTTTGGCTGTGTGTGGATCCATTCTCCTTCTCCTTATTATTCTCCTCTTGACTGTACTCTTTCGCATACAGTCTCAGCCCCCTGGCTACCGGCACGTTTCCAATGAAGGAGAAGAGCAGGCCTGACAGTTGCTTCAACTCCTTCCCAGGCAGTAGGAAGGAGCTGTGTTGCCCCTACGGATGATTGGGCACCTTCAGTTACTCAGCATTCTTCTATTTTGGCCTTTACATCCCAGAACAGAACTGGACTTGATTTCTGGATACTTTCTAAAGGTGACGTCCTTTAGAAATAACCAAGAAAAAGAACTGAGCTACTCTAAGGAAATGACACCTTAATTTTCAAGCCAATGTACTGTGTGGTGCCCTGGTCCTCATACAGCTTACCCAGTCTGCAATTCCTAACATGGCCAGTTTCAATTTTCCTCCTTTCAAGTGACTGTAAATGTTACCACTCACCATGACTGTGGCAGAGAAGCTTGGGCCTGCAGCAGCTGCCGCATCCAGTTGCATTTCTCTTCAGGGTCAACCTGCTTTGAGTGCTTTTCCCTCACACCATAGGGCTGCTGATGGTAGAAAGGCTGGACTTGAGCTGGGGGTGCACCTCGCCAACAATGCTCCAAGACTCATCTACTGTCCATGCAGAGGGAACTGCTGCAGATGATGGGAGACACGTAAAGTGTTTCTTGAGGTTGCTGTCAAGTAGTTGCTGCTGGCAACTGGCTTTTTTTCCTCTCTTCACATTGTGGGTCAAGAGAGGACTGTACTGAAATCAGGACAAGCCTGAAAACCTAGCAGTTTTCAGTCAATCCTAGGATTTCACTCAGAGTAGAATCAGAGTAAACCCAAAAAAACTCTCTCATGAGAGAGAGCAATTCCTGTGACTGAAGAAACTCACACTCTGTTTCTTGTGCAATGTTGGCTCTAGAAAGGAAAGTCCCTCTAGATAAGAAACTTGGTTTCTGTCTAAAGATCCCAAGTTTAAATTTTACTTCCCACATCTGAACTTCAAGGACCTGTTAAAGGGAGTATCCAGTACTCCAGGTAGTCCAGATTTCAGCCCAAGGAATATGCTTTACTAGCAGAATGTTTTTATGCTGTTTTTAAGAGATGTAGCAGAGCTGTTTACCTAAGACTAGATAAATGCAAAGTTCTGTAGTTTTTCTTCCTGTCTTCCCTACTGGATGGACAACAAACGTTAAGCATCAGAGTTGGCAGGTGACTGTGGATTCCTTTATTTGACACGCTTGGGCATTTTGTCCAAAGTGTGATTCTTTCTCCAGCCTGGCCTCTCTGTACATTGCAGCTGCTGCACAGACCTTCACACCAAGTGCTCACTACCTGCCTTGTAGTTTTTGGCAGAAAATGAGAGACTGCAGCAGGCACCAGAAGCACAGGCTCTTCACGTGGTGATACTGCACATTCACTTCCTACTTTTACTTCCCTTTCTGGGGCAGTTCCCTTCCCCTCTTGGATGCAGAAGCCAGTTCTTAGGTTACAAACATTTCCTTTTGTTCCCCCTAAGGAGTACCGTGGGGACTTTTCTCCACACCGTAATCAGCATCTGCCAGCATGGGAACCCTAAATCAGCAGAAGCAGCTTGCTGTTCTCAGCATCTTCCTCACCTTTTTGTCCTCTGAAGATACAGAGTAGGTCTCCTGCACAGCAACACAGTCATAAAGAAAAAGCTACTGCCTGTGAGAACAGGCACAAGAAAGAGGTAATAGAAAGTGCATTTAAGAGGACCTGTTATTTTTAAAGGCACCAAATTTTGCACATACACAGAAAAGTTTTTATGATGATTTAGACATTTTGACTGTGAATGACTTTCTGTACTTGTTCCAATACATTTCATTATTAAAATCAATTTCGCACTGAACGATACTCCTCTTCTCTCGGAGTTCACAGGGTTAGCACCAGTGTCCTCAGTGTTGGAAAGCAGACAGAATTTACTGCAGCATACCCCCCTAAAGGAATTCCCTGTTTCACAATTCCACACATCGCACAGGGAGATTTGACATAAACTGGTTTTGACTGCAGCAGCTGTTGAGGGATACAGCTGATGATGAATGCTGTCCAGCTTGGAGGGGTCTGCTGCAGACCCAGTACTACGTCTCAGCCCTCCTGTAGAAAACCTCCCCTGCAAAAGCAGTTCAGTAGTATCCTCAAAGCAGCCACTCTATCAAAGAATTTTAGTTTAGTACAAAATTTTATTGATATTAATATTGCAAAACTATAAACGTGAATGTGGAGAATCTGCACAGGCCTGGAGCCCATCCCATCCCATCAACCTCTGGGACAGCAACAGCCTTGTAAACAAAGTAGAAAAAGCAAAACTTAACCCTTTAACAACAGTCTTGAGATCTGGCTCTGAGCAGGGGTATTTGGAAGAAATCCCTCATTTCTGTTTTATAACACTCTTATCAAACATTCTGAAGCGCATAGGCATAGGTGAAAAAAAATGCCTAATCATTGACAAGAAACACCCTAGAACTCTGAAAATAGAAACTACAGAATCAGTAGGTGCCCAGCTCCATACTGTCCTTGCAATCAATGATAAGGACCTCTGGCATCCTGTTCTTTGTGGTTCACTTAAAACAGCTGCAAGCAAAGAACAGGCTAAGCCTGATGTCTTGACCAACACATTTTCAAGCTTGCATATGGGAGAGCTTGGTGTTTCCTAAGATACCCAAGCTATCCATGAATTCACCCCTGTGAACATTCTATCTTTTCAGGATGTCAGTCCTGAGAGCAAATGGTTTCTCAACTTGGCTGGGCTAGAACAGGCTGGGGACCCTGTCATGAGCTGCTCCACTGCAGACTACAGGAAATGGGAACCTCTGACAAGTGATGACAAACAGATATGGTAGGCTGAAAGCAGGAACTTCAGCAAGATCTGGGAACGTCTTTGAAGTTTTCCTAGTGCCTCAGAAAACGAGTAGTAACTCCACTTGGAGGAACCAAGTACTGACACAACTTTCTAGAAAGGGAGGCCAAGAGGATCAAGAAAGCAACATCAGATCCGGGGAGGAAGGACAAAGTCTAATTCCCTGCATGGCTTATACTGCCCATTGCCAACAACTGAGTTTGTACGCTGGGATTGAGAAAGGATCAAAATACTAAAGCAGTTCTCTAGATCCCTCTCTTTTTACTTCCTTCCCTGTGGTTTAGAATCACTGCGTTTTGTTTTCATCTCCTACAGCTCCCCAGACATTAACTTAGCTTTTTAGTTTGCTTGTGCCAGGGTTTGCCTGCCTCTGCCCTCCATGTCTGGATGAACTCCAGCTTCCAATCCTCTGTTCTCTCACGGTTCAATCTCCTCGTTTGTCATGGCTTTCAAGAGATGTTCATGCTTCTTGGCTGCCATCTCCTCCTGGTTCCAGATCAGAATATTAAAGCCTGAAAAGAAAAATTAAATACCGTATATCAGAAACTCTACATCAGTTGTAATACCTTAGGCAGTGTCACTTAAATGCCAGAAATTCAAAAGACTTTTTCTAAGGTATTTCTGAAGTATAGCAGATGCAAAAATAGTTATTGCAGATGCTGTGTCCACATAGCCATGGAAATCTGATCTAAGAAATATATGTAATTCCTAGTGTCATCTGTCACAGGTCTAAGACCTAAATCTATAGCTGGCTAACTTAATCCCACACAGCCTGTGAAAAGCTGACTAAACTTGGCTCTGCAGCGTAGGAAATGAGATAAACTAAACAAAGGGAAACAGCACAGCCTAGCAGGAAAACGCTTTCCCCCCTCCATTGTTTTCTTCTACTGCTTCATGGATGGCATGGAATAACAAACCAGCCCTTTTCTAGGACTAGAACCCACACATTTAGTGCCCCAGGTTCTCTTTACTTACCCATGCCAGAAGCCAGTGTGTCTCCCATAGGGTTAAATTTATTGAGCTGAAAATGAAAACACAAGAGTCTGTAACAGCATCACTGCTTACGTAACAGTCATAAGAGCACCACAGCTTATATAACAGCAACAAACCATCTGGAAAAACAATGTTCCCTAAGAGTATCACAAAAATCCCACAAAGGCCCATGGACTAGCCCTGCTTGAGTCAGCAGTTTTAGCTGGCAGCCATATCCCGGATGTGAGCACCCTCTGCCAACAACCTTCACACTGGCAGCCATATCCCATGACAGCATGAGTCTGTCACAAGTAAACTGGATGTGGTTCTGGTCCCTAGGCCATGCCTCTTTCCCAGAGACAGAGCAGTGTTATTGACAGCTCACCGAGATGATCCCAGAAGCATTTGGATCGTAGAGCTGACAGACCATCTCGCCGGTGTTTCCATCGAACACATCCACGGTGCGCAGCTCGTTCAGCGTGTACCCGGGGAACTTGGGGTCGGGGTAGCGACCTACGACAATGAGGTCATAGCGAGGATGCCACGTTGCCTGATCAGGAAACAGAGTCATGGAGAGCTTAGAGCTGTTTCAGCTCAGCACTGACACAATCCAGACAACTGACACTGGGAACAACTCTTAGTATATCCCACCCACAGCCTGAGAACACTGCTCCACTGGGAGTTGCAGCAGTGTAAATATCCACCCACCAGTGTAGTATCTTGACCAGAAATCAGACCATTTTTGATTTGCAGATGGCTGCTAGCACCAAGCACGATGCTCCTCTTAGACTTAACTCACCTTAATAGGTGTGAGGTGCTGAAATTGCCTGTGTGGATGTGGAATCAGATGCTGTGGTTTGGTCCAGTCTGAAGATGAGTAAACCCTGATTTCATTGTGCTGGTCTGTGCTCAGAAGCTTGGCACCATGTGTTGGGCTGAAGTAAGCTAGGAAAGCAGGACAATAATGCAAAGCTAAGATCACAATGCTGTGACTGACAAGACATGTAAGTGTCACATTTCGCTGACTGAAAATCCATCACTAGTTCTTTAATTAAGATGTGAATATGGCTGTGTGTCCCAATAGGTAAGACTTTGATAAGACAGACTACCTATCTCAAACAAATTCAAAACTCTTACAAAAAGAAAGCTGAAACCTACCGTGCTGGGTTACCTAAGAAGAAAATTTATTCTCATTTCAGAATCACAGGAGGAAACATTACAAAGAAAGAAACTTGCTCATTCAAGTGGAAAGACAGTAGAATAATGAGATAGACACCTGAGTTTGGACTTCCATCAACTGGTAAAGTTGTTCCCAAGAAAGAGAGGTTTGAGTTCCATTTTCTGCTCTTGTTAAAGGGAGTGCCCCAATAAATTCTGTTTTCTAATCTCAGCCACTGCTGCTTTCTAACTCACTTCTAAGGTACAGTGTCACAGTTTGTATGGCAAGTCTTAAGAAGGTGCTGCAGCTGCCCTAGCCACCTCCCTGCTTCTGGCCACACATTCCCAACAGCTTCCTTACTTTAATTACCATACAACTTGGAATCTGAGCAAAACCTAATGCTGCCATCACAATAAAAGCTGAGCTGAGTGGACCCTGTAGAATTCCAATGCAATGGAATATGCAATGAAATCCTTAACTCACCTGCATTGACAGGTTTCTCATGTGGAAGCAGATGAAGAAAGTTTGTTTTGTTTTTGATGTTTCTGAGGTCCCAGATTTTGACTGTCTGATCCACAGATGCTGTGGCAAACATCCACTCACATCGAGAGTTAAACTCTACATGAGTCACTTTCTTCTTGTGCAATTTCAGCTTCCAGACCTGCAGCAAACAGAAAATCATGTAGGAAAAAAAATAATCAAGATCTGTAATCAAGAAATGAAATTATAATCTACTAGTACCAAGTAAAGAGGTCTCACATTTATAGAGTAACAAATCTTCTACAATAAACCAAGAGTGTATTCACTCGAAACAATAAAGGAAAAGAATGACCTTAGGAAATAATTATTTCATTCTAGAAAAACTCTGATCTGACAGTTTATTGCAGCTATGAGAAAAGAAAATAGAAGCCCAGGCCTTCATGGAGGGAACTACTAGTGCCACTGTACTAAGCAAGATCATATCTGGAAGACCTTAAGCAGTGCCACCCTTTCACTTCAGAAAGATTTAAACAAACTGGAACAGGTAGAGAAAATCTGCTGCCAAGATAACAAGATGGAAGGAACTGCTTTGTGTGGAAAATCAAAAAACCTTCCTTTAAGTAAAAAAGTGAGAGAAGATATAATTGGCTTCTAGAAACATGTCACAAAAGAAACATGAGGGTAGAACAAATATTTTAATTAACAACAACAACTAAACACAAAGCAGCCATGAATAAATTTCTATACAAAGCCAGAAGGTTATCTCTAATCTAAAGGCTGAAGCTGGCCTATCCTCTCTAGAATAATGGATATCTCGCTACTGCAGAAAAGACTGTCACATTCTTTCAGGGGGAAAAAAACGTAAGTCAGCAACTAACACTGAATAAGCACAAGTAACTTGGAGCACTACTTTCCACAGCTGACTCTGGCCACAGATCACTGGGTGGCAAACTTTTACAGACATGCAGGAGAGAGGGCAGTGCCAGTGTGACAGCACAGCAGGCTCCTGAAGCAGGGCCCACTCCAACTATTCTCTCCTCTTTCGCTACACTCCAGACTCAGAGTCTGCCTCTGCCTGCCCTCTCGTGTCCAACAGCAGGAGTGCAATTTCCATCCCAATATTCACTGCACTACTGCTCCGTGCCTACTCTCAGAAGGTTACAGAAGGTGCACAGCAAAGCAGTACCTCCTAAATGACTCCCATCAGGGCACTAAGTTTCTGAAGTGTGAAGGTTGTTGGCAGAGGGTGCTCACATCTTCAGGTTACCCTATAATTACTCTGGCTAGTAGCAAATACACTTAAGGAAGGGGCAGCACGTGACAGGTAATAATTCCTTTTTTAGAAATTATTACCATTATACTCAACAACGTAAAATGTCTA